AAGGGTGATAACCATTCCTGATTCCCGGGCTGGACAGACACAGGCTGTGGGCAGTGATTGCTGTAACCTGCGTCACTGTCCCAGCCTTGTGTATCAGAGTTTGGCTGAGGAAAAACCCCGGAATTGGAAAGACTCCTAGCATTTGTCCCCCTGCTCCACCACAGCACAGCACGGCTGAGTGGGTGATCACTGCAGTCAAGTCGCTTCCAACCCATGGTGACCCGCCACCAGCTTCTGAGACCCCACGGCTTTACGGGAGGAAACTGCCCTTTCTCATCAGGATCAGCAGGCAGATTCGAACTTCTAACTTTTCAGTTAGAAGCCTCACAAGTTTCACACTATGCTGTCATAATTGTTTTCTTATTCTTCTGTTTTTTTACTTCCACAGTTATAAAGAGGAAGCCGAACTAAGCCCATGACAATACAGTTGATTCATGGTACTTGCTGCTGTGCAAATCAGACCTGTCCCATAGGGTTTTCAAAGCTGTGACCTTTCAGAAGCAGATCACCAAGGCTGGCTTCCAAGACATCTTTGCGTGGATTCGAACCACAAACTTTTTGGCTAGTAGCTGAGTGCTTATTTTACCTTCTGTGCTCTCCTTGGACTCCAGTAACTGGCTTAGCTCCCAGAAGATAGAGCTCTCGCCTCTCATCAAAAGATCAAAGGATCTATGCAAAGCACAAGTCAAATCATTTCTCTTCCTCATCTAAGTTCAGCCAGTGACTGTTCATAACGTACAAGATAAACTCCAGGCTCCTTATTTGGTGTACACTGTCCTATACGATCGGGGCCTTGCCTCCATGCTATTGTTGTCCGATGCCACTGAGTCAGCTGTCACTCACAGCCACCCTGTGACACAGAACGTACCACTACCAACCTCTGCTGCGGTGGAACCCACTGGGGCACCCACTGTGTCACTGTATCTTGTGGAGGGCCACCTTTTTTTACTGGCCTTCTACTTTTCCAAACATCATATCTTTTTTCTCTAGAGTCTGGCTCCTTCTGGTGACATGCCTGAACTTTGGGAGATGAGGTTTAGCATCCTTCCTTCTAAACCACATTCCAGTTACACTTCTTCCAGGACAGGTCTGCCTGTTCCTTTGGTAACCCTTGATGCAGTCCACCTTGTTTGCCAACACTACAATTCAAAAGTGTGAATCATTCTTTGGTCCTCCTTCATTGGCCAACATTCACCTATTTATGAAGTGATGGAAAATGTCATGGCTTGGGTTAGGTACGCCTTAGTCCTCAATGTGACATCCATGCTCTTTAGAACTTTAAAGAGGTCTTGTGCAGCAGATCTGAACAATACAATAGGTTATTTGATTTCTATACAGTAGTCTGTATGTAATTGTAGAATCCAAATGCCGTTAGTCTGATTTCATATTTTCCAAGTAATTTTCTAGTAACGAATTCCATTTCCCAGGTTAATGCTGAGGGGAGGTGATGGGTGAAAGTATGTCTCATATATCAGACAGAAGTGTTACATCAATAAGATGTATGACCACTGTACATAATGAATCGGCCTTTTGCTCGACCAGACTCCTTTGAGTCAGGCTAGTATGACTCAGTCCCCTTGAGGTTAACCCACCCTGATTGTACTGACTAAGTGAACACGTGGATCCGCAAAATTGAGAACAGGATCTTCTGACAGACAGGATCTTCTGACAGAGAAGTACCTTTTATGAGAAACTTGGAGACCATCCCAGAGGACCTGTGCTAAGCAGTGGGTGCTGTCCAGGGCAGAAGCCTCGCCTGGTAGGTCAATGCCAGCCATTGTCAGTGGACACGAGATGTAGCTTATCATGTATATGCAGTGAGGGTTCAGTGATCAGTGATTGTGAAGAGCTGTGAAGCGGAGACTCGGAGCTTCCTGGTTTTGAAGGGAGGATGATTCACTCTCTCTGGGGCCCGGGAGCTCCCAGACCTCACACGTGCATCTCTTCTTTAGGATAATCTAGATTTGTATCCTTTTATTCTACTGTGTAATAAACAGCACAGCCAGAATGCTTCTTAAAAGGGAGGACTGGGAGACTTTGTCTTGCTTGGCTTAGACGTGCGATTAGAAGGGATGAGAGCCCACGGGAAGACATCACGCTTGGAAGAAGCAGAAGGTGAGCAGAAAGGGAGCCCCTAGATGAGACGGACAGACATGGTGCCTCACACAGAGCAGTGGTTGAGGATGGCTCAGAAAGGAGCCTTCTGTCACCACAGGGTCACAGAGAGTGGGAACGACAGACTAACAATAGCAACAACACTTTAATAATTCCCTAATCTTAAATTGAGTACATTCTGTAGTTTATTCCAACGAATTATCAAACCCAAAGGAGTGAGGAAGCCAGCGGGTGGACATGAGGAACCCAGGGGAGCTAGCCGTAGGCATCATGAAAGGGTGGTGAGAAAACCTTGACACCCTGACCTACACGTCAGGAGTTTGGGGTGTTGTGAGGCTCTCCAGCCTTGTGGCTGGCCCCTGCCGGTCAGACAGTCTAAACAATAGTGTCCTTTTAGAGTGCAAGATCGCTCAGAGCCCTGGGTGGTAGGTCAGCGAGAGAGTGTCACGTGGCCAGCGGGTGTCCCAGAGGAGGAAGTGGGACAGTGGTGATGTGATTTCTCCTCACCCCTGGGAGTTGGATTAATGCTGATTCTTCTTCATGATGGTGTCAATGAGGCAACGCCACCTGAAAGGCTGTCTACGCCCAGGAGTCTTGCTTTTCTCCCACCTTTCTCGTCACTTCCAGAGTTCCAGTGTCCATTGCTATAAAGGATACAACGTGTGGACTTCGTTAAAGTCAGGTCAAAGTCATTGCCATCTTATAGGACCAGCTCATAGCTGACCCTCCAGTGGGTTTTCAGAGGCTGTAAATCGTATAGGTGGAGACTGCTTATCTGTTTTTCTACAGAGTAGTAGGCGGATTTGAACTGCTAACCTTTGAGTTGGTGGCACAACTCCTTACCCACTAGGATTAAAAACCACCAAGAATAAAATCCAAAAACTTACTCCAACTGAGTTGATTCTGACTCACCAAGACCCTATTGTTGTTAGCGTAAAACTCCCCCAGAAGGTTTCCAAGGCTCCAAATCCTTACAGATGCAGCCGCCTCCTCTTTCTCCCATGGAGGAGCTGGTGGGTTAGAACTAGGTATCTTTGGATTAGCAGTCAAGCCCTCTAACCACTTCACCACCACGTCTCAGTTGTTAGGAATAAAACCAGCCCAGCCCACTGTGGTCAAGTTGGTTCTGATTCATGTGAATCTCTATTGGGTTTCTCAGGCTGTAAATTTTTACAGGAAACTGGCTGTCCTTCTCACAAGGAGTGGTTGGTGGATTTGAACCATCAGCCATTCGGTTAGCAGCCCTATGGTTAGCAGCAGCAAGGCACCTGTCTCGCCAATTATAAGTCATGTTTCCCTATCCAGTCCGCTTGCACAACTTCCTGTTTGTGAAACTTTGGGAAAGTGACATCAGGTCTCTGAATTCACTTCAAACATAGGAATGATAATACTTCCCATAGAGCAAGAAACTTCTGAGTCCCTGTAAAGCTGAAAGAGCTTCCCCAGAAAGTCTTTGAGGTCTTGTGTAAAAAGGAAGGAGGATTCCCAAATCAGGGAGCTCTGACGGCCTAGTGGTAAGGAGTTGTGCTGGCAACTCAAAGGTATGTGGTTTGAATCCACCAGCTGCTCCCTAGGATGAAGATGGGCAATCTCCTCTCATGCAATTAACAGCTTCTGAAAACCTGCTGGAGGGTCAGTAAGGGGTCTGTTCCAACTCGATGCCACACAACATTATTCTCAAATCAGGGAGCTTTGGTGGCCTAGTGGTAAGAAGCTGTGCTGCAATCCCAAAGGCACACAGTTTGAATTCAGCTATTCCACAGGAGGAGGGGTAATATCCTTCTGTATGATTAGCTGCCTTTGAAACCCCATTGGAGGGTCAGCTATGGGTCAGTTCTGACTAGATGGCACACAGCAACATTCCCACATGAGCACAATGCCAAGGGTTCGTCTGTAGGTCTGATGGACTGAAGGAGAGGCACAGCTTTCAAAATATACTTTCTTTTGAAACAGATGAGGACGAGAACTGTTTAAAGGGGATATTTGATTAAGTACTATTGGCATGAAAGGAGTCCAGAATGAAGCCAGCATAGTGGAGTGGACTTGGGGGGAGGGATTGCATAACAATGAAAGGATTTTTCCTTTACTTTTCAAAGAGAAGAGTGAACTGGAGGGGAGGGGTGGGCAGGGAGAAAAGTACAACAATGAATGAATGGAAATC